GCGTAAGATTTGTTAAATAAAAGGGAACTCTTTAGCTACAATGTATCAATGTTATGTTATAAAACAAATGGTAAACACCACAGCGTACACTATTGAGTTATGGATGCACTTGGGAGGTTTGCTAAGCACTCAAGAAGCTAGAGTCGCTCTCGGCTATCGCCTCGAGCGACTCTTACGCTTCTTTCGTGCTTAGCAACCTCCCGCGTGCATCCATAACTCAATAGTGTACGCTGTGGTGTTTACCATTTGTTAAATATATATTCGAAAACCGGAGAACCTTTAAAAGTAGAGATTGAACGACATATTTTAACGATTACGTCCTAACTGACCGACGAATATCAATGTAGGAAATGTACGGCAGAGGCTATTTTAGTAACACATTTAACTGAAACGAATCCAGTACTTGATGGTCTTGTCAATCAAAGTGGTGTGAAAACAAGAACCTTCTACGGAGTTCCAAGATCAATATGCAATATCACCTTACTCACTAGCATTCATTTCTTGGAAGATTAGTTCTGAGAGTTTTAAATCAGATTGAAATCCCCGTGTTCATTATGATGTCAGGAGAAAGAAGATTCTTAACACTCTGAGTATGGGGTAAAATCATGACAAATTCGATTAAAACTACAGTAACAGCAGCAGTAAAAACTTCAGTTTCATTTATATGCAAAACGTGTTACAGGATCAGAGGGAACAAATGTTAAAACACACCATCGATCAAAATGACGAAAAAGTGTACGCCGACAACAAAATTTGTACGTTTTTCTTGTCAATCTTTTGTCAGACGTTGCTAAGAGCGCCTCCATTAGCGCATCTCTGGTTGCGAAATCACTTTTTATTTGCTTTTCCTCAGTTGGAGTTTTTTTGTTTATGACTTCACGGTGGATGGAAACCCAGAAACTGCGAGATTTAGGCGCTTAAGAGAAAACCATATTTCGGTGGACGAATTGCTTAGTCACGCTTTCCACAAAGTTAACCTGGACGAATTGCTTAGTCACGCTTTCCACAAAGTGAACCTTGACCTCGATCAGCCGGCATCTATTTATTTGCGGTTGCGGGTGCATTTGCGGAAGCTGCGTTAATGATGCGTGAAAGGATACAAAAACAATAAGTCACAACATGTCTGGAATTTATCCATATGTAATTTCTGAGTTTCCTCTGATCGACCCTCGACATTTTACCCTCGACCCTCGATCCTCGACCAATACCCAAACTCAATGTGAATGTGAATGTGAATTGTTTATTCGATACTTTGATAGCAGCATAGGCTGAATTGCTAAGGTTTACAATGCTATTAAGGTTGAGATCGGACGTCAGCATTATCAATGTGCTGATTTGTCACTGTACCTTGGCGTTCGGCTATTATACATTGCTATTTTGTCATTTCATTCTAGTATTCTTCAATTTCGACATTGGGACAAGCAGTTTTCCTTTTGTGATTTGTCATTTTCATAGCGTGCGTTTTCATTGTGAGTTTTAGACCGTGCGATAAAATATTTCCCGCCAAAATTATAACCCACAGACACCTACATGTTACACGAGGAAAGCAAACACAATGCGCAGTAAATTTTTGAAAATCATCTTTTCCCAAAAGCAAACTCCAGTGAAAGAAGACTAATTAAAGACCTTACTTCCGGCGAAAAAAGCGATAGGTGCATAACTGAAATTGCGGATATCATAATAAAACATTTATTTTTGACGGTAATTAAAGGGAGATGACAAAACGCGGAGCCCAACTCCATGAAGTACCCTATTGAGTACCTGGATGGAGTGCCCCTAAAAATCATGTATTAGTCAAATGAAATACTTTATGAACATGGTGAATCGTTTAGATGTACATATCCTGATATATTTTGAGCTTGTCAGCTCTACGATTGTCGCAGTTCGATGAAGTACACGAATTGACCGCCATCTTGAAATTAAGTAAACTGCTGACCACTTCCAACGGAAAGCTTTAATGTTGCTAGCATCCATGAACGTTATCGTCAATAGGCCGGGGTCTGTAAGAGATGTGGCGCTCCATCTAGTAACACATGGCCTCATCGGTTTCGTAATTGTGCGAAAAGATGAGGATACAAGCTTACATTTGTACTTTGAGACTTAAAAAGGTAATCCCTATCTTTAAACTGAGCTTCTCCTCACCCATCTATTTGTAGCGCAATAAATTTGAGGTATGTTAACAAACCAAAAAAATAAATCCGGCTAGGGTTGTTGATCTGGGAAATGCAGTAAGCTTAAATATTTTACCTCGTGCAGAAGTCGAAACAGTGGGTTTTGTTCATCACATGGAGTTGTTTGTCTTCTCGTCAAAGGACTCATTACACAGCGGTAAAACCAAAATGAAGGAACCAGTAAGACTGAGAGCCCTAGTCAACTGTCCCCCCAAAAAACTGGATTGTATCGAACTGTGGCATTCGGAGAGCTGGTAAGCTCAATATATTTTAGGATATGTACATCTAAACGATTCACCATGTTCATAAAATATTTTATTTGACCAATACATGACTTTTAGGGGTACTCCATTAAGGTACTCCATGGAGTAGGGCTCCGCGTTAAGTCATCTCCCCATTGTGGAGTAAGTACACGGTCTTTTAATTTATTGTTGTTTTCACCCGTTTCATTTCNTTTAAAGCGCGAAAAAGGTACCTTTTTTTCAATTTGAAGCGATCTCTTCAAAAGCGCGAAAAAGGTACCTTTTTGCGGTTTAGAAACGTTCCTATCAAAAGAGCAAAAAAAGTACCTTTTTCTGCGGTTGGAAGCGATGTTCTCATAAGTGCGAAAAAGGTACCTTTAAAAATAAACGGCGTTTTCAAACTATATTTGAAAGCCGTTTTAAATTCTATTGATTGACAGATGTCAACCGTTTAGCACCATTTGTTTTGCTTGAATTGACTGACCTACTAGTGAAGAGACAAATATAACGGAATATATGGAAAGCAATGTCACTTTAATAAGGAATCTCATTGAAGACAATAAAACGTACAAACATGTCGGTAAAATTCTCACAGAAAACTTTCCAGAAGTAACAAGGGGCTTTTCAGAAAGAAACGTGCGATTGTTTTTGTGCTAAATATGGGATAAAACGACTAAAGGAATACGAAGTAGATTCCATCGTTCAGGATTGTGTGAACGAGGTAAGCTTGTTTATGTGTTGGCATTTTTTGTATCAGTTTGTTTAAATAGGGACGTTCCATTTTTATTCCGTTCCCCTATGGATGATTATCCTCGGCAGACAACTAGTAGGAATCCGTTTTCAAAGGGACCGACAATGATGATGGGATAGGAAAAGTTTTTTTTCCGACATAAAAGCGAGGTGGTAGAAATCTGCTCATCCATAGGGTGAGATACGAATAAAAATGGAACGTTCCTATTCAAAAAAACTGATACAAAAAAAGCAAAAACATAAACAAGCTTACCTCGTTCACGCAGTCCTGAACGATGGAACTTTACTTCGTATTCGTTTAGTCGTTTTTTCCCATATTTAGCACAAAAACAATCGCACGTTTCTTTCTGAAAAGCCCCTTGTTACTTCTGGAAAGTTTTCTGTGAGAATTTTACCGACGTGTTTGTAAGTTTTATTGTCTTCAATGAGATTCCTTATTAAAGTGACATTGCTTTCCATATATTCCGCCATATTTGTCTCTTGAGTTGTGGGTCAGTCAATTCAAGCAAAACAAATGGTACTAAACGGTTGATATCTGTCAATCAGTAGAATTTAAAACGGCTTTAAAATGTAGTTTGAAAACGCCGTTTAAAGGTACCTTTTTCGCGCTTATGAGAACATCGCTTCCAGCCGCAAAAGAGGTACCTTTTTTGCTCTTTTGATAGGAACGTTTCTCAACAGCAAAAAAGGTACCTTTTTCGCGCTTTTGAAGAGATCGCTTCAAATTGAAAAAGAGGTCCCTTTTTCGCGCTTTAAAGTTTTGTTTAATAAAGTGAGAAATGGATGAAAAGCGGACAATATTGACGATAAAATATTTCCACTCGAAAGCTTGAAATACCCGCCTTTTTTTCTCTAAAAAGGTACCTTTTTTTAACTTTTCACCTGATCGACTAGCATTAACGAAAAAGGTAACAAGTTTGCATGTTGTTCTATGAAAAATAAATGCAGAAAGTTAATTTTTCTGCTCTTTTCAATTAGGAGAGTTGATCTTTTTATAAAAAAGCAGAATTGCCGGAACCTTTCACTGATTTTAAAGGTACCTTTTTTGCACTTATGAGAACATCGCTTCCAACCGCAAAAAAGGTACCTTTTTTGCTCTTTTGATAGGAACGTTTCTAAACCGCAAGAAAGGTACCTTTTTCGCGCTTTTGAAGAGATCGCTTCAAATTGAAAAAAGGTCCCTTTTTCGCGCTTTAAAGTTTCCACTCGAAAGCTTAAAAGAGGTACCTTTTTTTAACTTTTCACCTAATTGACTAGCATTAACAAAAAGGTAACAATTTTGCATGTTGTTCTATGAAAAATAAATGCAGAAAATTAATTTTTCTGCTCTTTTCAATGAGGAGAGTTGATCTTTTTGTAAGAAAGCAGAATTGCCGGAACCTTTCATTGATTCTTTTGATATAAAACTGACTTCGGCAATAATAAACTACATTAGGAAACCACAATGTTTTCAACACAAACTAAAAACAACTTGTCGTTTACAATATCGTTATTTGCATTATTTGGATTGTGTGTTTTCTTAGCGCAACCCATATTGAGTGGGAATTCTGTTAAAATTAGATGAAAGAGATATTGGTCTGTTTATATTGCTTGGGTCGGTTCCCTCATCCTTTTTCAACATGGGATAACTTTTGAGATTTTTTATTTGGCTGTGTTAGGGTTACGGTTAGGGTTAGGTGTGAAGAAGTTCATGGTTGCATGACACGTCACTAATAAAAAGTCATGCAAATCGTCCTTGTCACGCAGCGAAAATAATACAAGCATCTTATAGCCCGCGATCATGTCAGTGGTTTTGATCATGTCAATACTAGTTGTGTGTCATACATTACAACACAAGTGTCCCAGACAGGTTTTTTCAACTGCAAGACCCTACGTAGCGTTCTTTGCCCCGACGAAGAAATAATTCATCGGAACCGTGAAGCTTGCATTGCCACTACATTGGCTAAACTTTTAAATGAACGAGATTTTTTGAAAGGTAAGTTTCAGCAAGCGTTTTTTTGGGGAAGATCGATAACGTGTGTCTTCTTTTGTTTGTGCTGGAGAATTGAATATTTAAGTTTTATGTCTCTTTCGGCCCGTGGATTTTAGAAGTCGGTGTTACGTATAATCCAGTTTCGTATAATCTTCGTTCTACGATTACTGTGTTCGGATAAGGACGATAAAATTGCGGATTAAATTAAACTATTTTCGAAGATAAGAAAACTAAATGATGTCAGTACATGTACACGACTGACTATAATTATATTGCTGGTGTCTTCGATAAGATTCACGGCTTTTATTTCATTTTCTCGGACGTGGCTCTCAGTTTTCGTCTTAAAATAAGACTCTGTGCTTTAATTCTCAAAGAAGGTCTTTATATTTCATTTTCAAAAGGTCTCGCTTTGCTATTACTTAGAGGAAGATAAAAGCATTTGCATTCATCATGTGACAGCTGTCTATTTGTTTGGCATTCAAGTGTCCCTCGGCCGACAGCTGTGGAGGTTTATTTCGCAACAACTCAGATTTCATTTTCTATTTTTGAAACTCAGATCTTGACCTGATGTGGAGTACTTGAATAAAAAAACAATCAGGATAATCCTAAGATTAAGATTTAAGTAGGGATGTGCTTGCCCTCTTGGATTTTATTTATTTGAAATCCTGGTGGCCATGGTCTGCAGACACATAATTTAATATAGTATTGACACAGTGTTTCTACTGTGTGTGATTGGCAGACTACACAGACAAGATTTCAATAAGAACATGTGAAATGATAGCTATAATTACCAGTGTCTGGACTGTAGATAATGAATATTCAAAACAAACTATAAAGGGTATACCAATGAGAAATAACCAAGATTCTGATATTTTTTTCAATGACTATATTATTTTAAGCAACTGCATTTTGTGTGATAAAATTAAAATTGCAGCAAAAGCAATCTTTCTGTAGAAGAATTAAAATATTATTTTATACACTAAGTTGCAAACAAGTTCACCCCTAAAAAGCACGATTCATGAATGATGAGTCACCATAAAGCTTCATGGGAAATGCTTGTGCAGGTTCATAATCAGTGATTCATTTTTTCTCACTATTCTTGAAAAACCTCTGTTATGATAATCCCCCCTTTCCTTCAAAGGGAGCATGGTTAGCTTCCATCAGTCACCACCTACAGGTGGTGGCTATTGTGTTTAAGTGTTAATCCAGACATGCTTAGGGTTTCATTGTTTATGGCAATTGCTTTATTTAATGTCAGCCGTCTGGAAACTGACTGTGGAAGTGTTTAGATGATCAAAGGTTTTAATTTGACTTTGTGTTTCTTTTTTTTTTTTTTTTTAATTTTTTTGTGGAGAAAGAATGCTTGCCACTTCTTTTTGGGATCAAGAAAAGAATTGTTTGCTTTTCAAGATAAGATGCCAAAAAGATATATACACATGTCTAAATTAATACTTGTGCCACAGATGTAACAACAGTCAAACCTTGATAAAACATCTCACTTATTTGCTTATTAACATTACTTATTGACAGATTGATAACAGAGAGGCAAGTCTTTCATATAAAATAACATTGGCTGCTCTAAAGGTTCATGTAAAGTGCACAAGCAAGATCATGTTTGATAATAATAATAATAATAATAATAATAATAATAATAATAATAATAATAATAATATTTATTACTTCTACTATGCCTTTTCTTTACAATATTCAAGGTGTATCACAACACTTTTTGGGAGACTTTGGCCAGACTGCATCAAGCAGTTTACAATATCACTCAAAGGAAACATATTTGAAGATGCCCCCTTCCCCTAATTCCCAGTAAACAGGCCAGACCACGTCACAGTAATCTTGTGAGTGGGTTCTTTAACATCCCCTGCCTAACCAAATTAACTAATTAATAAATGCAGGAGACAGGACCTACTGTTTGTTCATCCTTATCTGAGAAGACTAGAATGTCTATCCATTTCTTGATATTGTAGAAAGGTAGCACATTCTCCTCAGTTATTTTAGGACCTTGAGTGTTGGTCCGGCTGAGGCGCGAAACCTCGACCTCCCTCACAACAGTCCAGCACTCTAACCAATTGAGCTAGCTGGGAGGCAGTAATAGATATGTTTAATAGATATGTTTAATAGATATGTAATAGATATGGTGAGTGGGTGAGAGTAAGCGAGTGAGAGTTGACCAAAAATTTTATAACAATATAAATGTTACAAACATACATTTAACAATGTTTTTTTTTCCTTTCAGTTTGTTTTAATAACTCACAGCAATAATTTATGGTACATGACTTGCTATGGAGGAAGACAGCATTGTCAGTGGTGCTGATTATCAAACTTTGACTCTTTCTTCGGAAGGTCTGCATTATTTATTTATAATTTCTTACCTTTATTTTCTTTTCTAATTTCATTTTTCCCTCTTTACATTTTCATTTTCTAAAAAACTTAGTGAAAGCTATTTCTTGAAGGAACTGAGAAATAACATGTGTAGTATTTCACCTCTGGGTGGTCAAAGACCTTTTGGTTATCATACTGATAAACTTAATGTTTTTCACCCCTAATAATATCTGTCTGCATAGTTGCCATGCTGTTCACCATACATATCCTAAGATGCTGACAAGGAGAATTTGTTTAACAATCAAGAGCTTCTTTTAATTAGTTGGTGATCATTTCCTTTATTCTCGTAACTTTGTGATTCAGGGGTGATATTGTATGGAGAAATTAGATGCTGGTCATTAACTGTTAGAGTCAAAGGTTTAAAGCCTTATTTTATTAAAACAATAGCCATAGAAATGCACTATAGAAATCGACATATATTATTATTATACTATTATTATTATTATTATTATTATTATTATATTAAAACAGTAGTCAGTGACAGAGAAATGGGTATCACACTCAAAATGAACCTGTTCTTAATTTTTTTCCCCTTTGCTTCAAATAGAGTTGGCAGTTGTTGTTCCTGGAGGGGACTTTCACAAGGTTTATCTCAAGCCAACACAAACAGCAGAAATCAAAAAGAAATGTAGGTTGTTATAACCTAACCCTAATGAAACCCTGACATAAGTATGCATATTCTCCACACTGTTGTATATACATTTCCTATAGGATGCTGACAAGGTGAATTTTGTAAACAATCAAGGGCTTCTTTAGTTGGCAATCATTTCCTTTATTCTCCTTTTCTTGATGAGTGATTCACGAGTGATATTGTTTGGAGGAATTAGACGCGAGTCACTCTTGGGGGTCTGAGTGCTAGCGTGACGTATGTAATTGATCCGGCTAACCATTGAACTACTTTTTCACCACATTTACAAATGTTATGAAGTGCCAGTAGCCAACAACATGTAGTTTAGTGGGTTGGATTTAGAATCAAAAGGCAAGGGACAGTTTCTTTATGCATTGCAATAACAGCTGACAGCTACAGTGATTAGCAGGGAACCCTTTCACTGCTTTCACTGCTGGCTGGATGGAGATTTTTCCATTAAATAACATTATCCACCTTTTATACAACTGGGCTTGGTAATTAGAACAGTATGGAGAATACGCACACTGATGTTAGGGTATAAAGTGTTCAACAGTTATGCACACATGCCTCCCTTGCCAGTCCCATCCCAAGTGAAAATTATCAATACTGGATTGCTTTTAAAGTAAGGTTAGAGAGCTATAGGCTGAAGATGTGCATGCAATTTCATTTTCATAGAGAAAAGTCACTAAGTGAGTACTTTTCTTTTTCTGAATTCTTTTCTATCTTTGATCTAATACTAATAGATTCTAAAGGACCCAAAAGACCTCAACCCAAGAAAGAGCTGTACTTAAAACTTGATGAAATCTTGTTTGATGCACTTCGACAAGAGTTTGAAGTATGTCCAGGGAACACTATTGATCGCCTCTTTATGGTGAAGTTCTTGACGGGTGTTGTCCAACGACATTTGAGTGACTTTCCAGATCTTGACAACCTTTTGAACCTACGTGACACTGTGTTAACTGGTCGCATTAAAAAAGTGTTTCCAGAAGTGGAGTATAAGAGAAGACAGGTCAAAGAGGATCACTACAGGAAGGCGTATCCTTTTTGGGAAAATGTTTTGAAGTTCTAGAAATAGAGTGTCTGACTGAAGCAATTTCTGTGTCTACTGTACCTTTCTTTTGTGAAGTCTGTAGGCACTGTAGAATTTAGCATTCTCTGCATTTTATTTCAGTTCATTAGCGTTCCTTTGGGAATACGTTTTGTCTTTCTTTCCCACGTTCGGTATAATTTACATGTTGTTAATATTCTAGCTTTTTAGTTTCATTGTTGATTTCATTGAGAGAACATCTTGTCTTAAGAGAACATCCGGTTTAGAGTTGCCTTTTTGCAGCCTACAGCGCCGATGCAATGTAAGTTCCTAGTTATTATGTTCATCGTGTTCGCTTTAGCCGCCTTTCAGTTTTATATTTCTGCATTTTGTAAGCTTGTATTTTTTGTTGGTTCTTCATTAGTTCAAACCTCTATCTCTGATCGAGGGTTTGTAATCATTCAAGTGGCCATGAAAAGACCCGCCTTTTGGCAGTAACAGACACTATGTTATGGTGTTGTTTAAGTATGTAAACCTTCCCCCAAACCCTTTGCGGTTTTCAAAATAGCAAACTATCATGAGACATTCGTAATAATTATCACTTGTGACTCCTCTTGGTTCCTCTCTGCTACTGGCCATGGTTATGCAAATCTGATTGGGGTTCTTTGGACTCACTTTTGGTTTCATTGTGTTCAGTAGACCAATGTTTGAGATACCTGACTGTGTCAATTATCCATCATCCAATAGGATAGAAAGTACTGTTAGTAACAGTTAAGGTTGCTACTATGGAAGGGTCATCATAACAACGGCTGTCATCATTACAGCGGCTGGTAAATTTGGGATCTACTTAATACAAATGTTAGCTTTGAAGGACAAATACTACTGGGTGGTGATCTAGCCATCACTTAGCAGACTGTAGTGAGTGGTTGTCTAATAATTATATTTGATTGATTACATGGCTCCTTGACAAACTCTTCAGGTGGCTGTATGTAAATATCAGAAGGAAACCTTCCAGAGCTTCTCACCCTGATGAAGGTATGACATAATGACAGTTGTATAATGTGATAAGGAACTTCTGTTTTTTTTTTTCCTCAACAATTTTTTGAAAAAACCCTTCACAAATCAAGTAGACATTAGAATTCTTACTCTCCCTACTTTTCTCCTGATGTGCCCCATGGTGCTGATGGGAAGAATTTTTTTTTGACAATCAAGAGTTTCTTGTGTCAGCAACCCTTTATTCTTATGATGGTAACATTTTGATTATTCAGGGATGCTTTACAGGGAATTACACTCAAACTTTAAGAGTGACTGGCTTCTACTTTATCCTTGCAGCGTCTTCCTTGAATCAATGTACATGTAAATGTCATGCGAATTAGGGAAATGATCACTAATTTTACAAGCTCCTGATTATAAAATAAGTTTTCCTTGTCATTAGCATAGAAAATATAATGAAAACAGTGTTAAGGGGTATGAAAACTGTATTGTAGCTCGAAGATATTAGCTCGTCAGCAATTCTAAAATTCAAGTATAAATAAAGTTTATGTATGTATGTATTTAGGTATAAAATGGTAACTGGTGAAACAGTAGATAACTAAAATGTATATCAAATTGAAGCTTGATCAACTCTTAAATTTCTGTTACCTACCATTCAACCATACCCTATTCTTGTCTAGAGAGATTTCAGAGAACTGAGAACTGACACTTAACATTTTCAAACCACAGTTAAAATTGAAAGTGTGAGCACCACTAGCACATGGACCCCACCCGTCGCAACTGTAACTGTACCACTGAAGCAAGCTTCATCACCGTCTTCATCACCACCAGCAGGTGCAGGTCATCTACAAAGCTCACCCGCACACACAGTGGAGCACTGTAGCCCCAATAACATGGTTGGAGACAGCATTTGTGTTGGACAGTACCCTGGTGAGTCTCTGGTGTGTGATAGTGGCTCTGATGGTATGGCATCAGATATCAGCAGTCATTTTAGCACCGAGTGTGAAGCAAGCGAGAGGTCAGCTTTGGCTATGGATAGCTCCACTTTGCAGGAATGGTAAGTGGCGAGAGATTTTCCATACTGTTTTGTATTGCCAAATTGCCAAAGGTGATTAAATTACCTTTGATAATACCTACGCGAGATTACCAAACGTTACCAAAGGTGCAGACAAGGAGAATTTGTTTAATGTTCAATCAAGAGGTTCTTTAGTTAATGATCATTCCCTTTATTCTCGTAAGCTTATTGTGTGATTCAGGGGTGAAATTGTAAAGAGAAAGTAGATGCCGGTCGTTTGGTATAACAAGAAATGGAGCCTTGAAAACTTCCTAATGCTTCGAATTGAAAACCGTGAATTGAGCCAGAGTCAGTTGGGTGGGGAGGAAGCTTGATCATGTTGTGCAGAAGAAACCGTCTAAAAAGATTTTCTCGTTTCACAAGGAAGTACTAGTAGAAAATGATTAAGTTGCACTACCTCTAAATCACAACTTATAAATGTTGTTGTTGAACTTACTAATTCGCCTACATGTAGGGACGAGATGGAGGTAAAATAAGGGGTTACCCTTTTAAAAACATTATAGGGGAGGGGCAAGGAAAAGGCGTGCTTGGCAGATTTCTCGTCCCAGTCTAACCAGGCCCCCCTTCCCCCAAAGATTTGAGACGAGTTGAGGAGAGGTTTGCAGGGGGTCTGGCACTAATCGGCGTTAGAACCCCCCTCCCCCCCCTCCCTGAAGGCCTTATACTTTCTCTGTGGGCGAAGAGCGCTCGTGCCGAAGCGCCAATGATAAGGGCCTGAGTAAAGGCCGCGCTTTTTCGTGCGGCTTAACACTCATGGTTTCCTTTCGCCAGAAAAAAGGCTAATTAACTGTTTTCCTGCTGCAATGTTTAGGGTGGTTTCAAACTACGTGCAAGACAGTTTATGCTATGTTCCCGTTCAAGATGTGGTGAAAGCATTCAAGAAAGATTTTAATATGGACATCACTTACAAAGAATGCCACCAACTAGTTCTGTCCGCTTACGCCAGTCCCAGAAACCGATTGATCCCCAAGAAGAGCGTACGAGTATCGTCCGTTGGGCAACAGTATGTGTATAGAGGAATAAGTCCTATCAATAAAGATTCAGGGTCCTCCAGCAAACCTCAGGTAACTTCAGTGTGTAGAAAGTGGCTTTCAAGAGCTCTCTCCAAACTCGTTCCCAGGTTTATCTCTGTTTCTCACTCGAGAAAGGACCCTGGTTGTGGCTGGTCACGTGCCTATGCAGATCAGAGAATGCCGTAGGGAGCAAGAGATTATAAACTGTATGTAATCTCTTGGTGGGGCTGGGGGGTGGGGGGTGGGTAGTCAACTAAATTTTGTCAGCTCCCTAAGCTAAAGCAGGAATCCAAAATGTATCCCTCTACCTATCCAGTTAGTATTGACAAAAATTGTACGCTTGAGCCCCTCCTTCGATTTTTTTTTTTTTTGTATCTCCTAATTTCTGAGAGACACGTGGACAGCCTCAAAGGAGGAGGAGAGAGGACACTGGTAACAAGGTTCGAGCTTTTCTCACCTTGCGATGTTTTCATTGGTATTTTTTTCTCTTTTGCGAAGAACTAAACATCTTTTGACTAGACGGAGGCAGCAAAAGTTAGCTTTGTGAGGTTGAAGAAAACGAAAGTGATACGATCGCTCCCAAGATCTCATTAGCATTTCTCCTCGCTGATTGTCGTACATTTGTCATGATGTTATTTCTGTGAATTGGCATTGGATAAACTGATAATCTCCTAATTGGCGTTTTTCTTTATTCTTTTCACTTCTCTGCTCGAATTGGATTGTATTGATATTGTAAGGAGAAGTTCTGTCTAGGTCATTCAGATTGTTAAAGGGTTAAGTAATGTCGTCCAAGCTTTTTTTTTTTTTCGGAAATCGTTGCAACCGTATATGGCAGAGTTTAGTGACTGCTTGATTTTCCTTTGTTTGTTCCTTAATTTAAAAACTTTGAAACTGTAACGCAGCTTGACTCTTGTACCTCTGTGCACGGGAAATCGTAAACTTTGTGAAGTGTTTTCTTTAAGGTCTTGCAAACTCATTCCCGAAGTTTCTTGTAGGCTGGTAATGAATTCGAGTTTGCCCAAACCTTTCAAGGAGAGGATTCATGCGAAGAACCCGAGGAGGACTGGAAGCAAAAAATGAAGGAATTGACTGATGAGCGCGACCGAGCATTAAAGGAACGGAATCAGGCTCTCGCAGCCCTGATGGAACTAGAAAAAGAACATGCAGAGGCATTTGAGACAATAGAGAAAATGAAAAAGGAAAAAATGAGAGGCAGCTTGGCCGAAAACTCTTCGAAGACTATGACCGAAACGGTAGTTAATAGTCGAGAACTTAGCACGAATCATTGCAAAGAATCATTCCTTGAAAAGTTGTGGGAAAGATTTGGAGGGACAAAAAGCGATTGCGCGACAGAACAGAAAATGAAATGTGATCAAGATAATTCTGATTATTCGTTCTGGAAGGAGATTGTCACCCAAGCGAAGGAAGAGCGTGACAATTTATTGAAAAGGTTAACCGTGGTGAAAACAGAAAGGAACTCGTATTTGGAGCGCATTCACTTGTTGGAGAAAGAAAACCAACGATTGCGTGACACTGTAGACATTAAGCTCACCGATGTGTCACACCACCGACTGTTAGATGACATTTCACTGCATTTCCAAACTAACTGTCACGGTGAAAATGACCCAAAGGAAGCCTTAAGTTCTGTTCTGGCTCATTTAAAGTCAAAACGGTAAGTACCTGAGTTATCAGTTGATCGCAAAGAATAAATGTCACGTGAGGAAAGGTCATGAACGGAAAGTTGCTCAAATTGTTCAGACGTTTCTTCATGCGTTGCTGCGGATCTAACACATGTGCCAGCCATAGAAATGTCTAATTTCTGTCGTTTTATGATAAAATTTTAAATTGTGAACTTTTATAGCCTGGAACAAGAGCTATATGTAGCTTAATTTCGCAATAATTACCTACTAAAGGTTGCTTATTTCTGTGTTAGTTTGTATTTTATGTGTAGTTTTACCCTTTGCACCCTAACATCAGCATGCATTTTATCCATACTCTTCTCTATACATTTCCTAAGGTGCTGACAAGGAGAATTTGTTTAAAAGAGCCCTTCGTTTTGCTCTGACAAAGGGCTCACTCTGTACACTTCAGCTACGAAAATTCTTTACGGTAGCCAATTGACATTGTCAACCCAACCAAATTATTGTACTTAAGACTTACTATGAACACTTAGATTAGTTGAGAGCATACAGTCAATACACATTAGCGTGTGAAGTTGACATGATAACCCAATATCTGCAGCAGATATTGGGTTATCATGTTGAGTTCAAAGTCTGCTTAGTTTCCAACCCTCTCGTCCGTGTAGTGTTCTCAAACGTTTGCAAACTCAGAGAGAGATGTCTTCTTTTGCAAATTGGTTTTAAACGTGTATAATAAAACAATTCTTGAATTCGGTTTTCGCGTGACACCATCTGTGTTATTTGCCTCAGCCTTCGACGTAGGCATTGGTAATTCAATAATTTCTTCTTTCGTTCGCGTCAGCCTAAAGAATTTAGGCCTCCATATTTTTTTTACTTTTACAGAGAAGGACGAACGACCTGAAAATTTTCATTACTCTGCCATCAGCTGATGTACATTTAAACTAGTTATGTTTTGTCAAAGCAAAATCATCGTGGAATGTTGCGTGCTATCTTAAGTTGTGATCGGCTGTTGAGCTGTTGAATCATATTTGTCCTCTTTGATCCATTCTTAAAGAAAAATATTGCTATTATTTTAGGAAACAAGTGACTCCGTCTCGGTTAAACAAGTCTCCAAGGCTTGACCATGTCAATGGCAGGAACAGCACCGAGGATGCAACTACTCACCCAGTCACTCTCACCTTGTCTTTAAAGGTCCGAGACGATGGAAGAGCTTTTTCTGGAGACATAGGCACCTCAAACGGTGACTTTCTGAGAGAAGAATCTGAGAGATTAGTAAATGGAAATTTCGACAACAAAGAAAGTAGTGCAAGCAATAAGAAACCGGATACTGAACAGGATTTACTCGTTTTTACGTCAGGTAGTGAAATGGTCGGGTTCACGCGACATCCTCTGGAGGACTAAGTTCTTCACACCATGTGACGTTAGTCAAAGAATGCAGACTTTTTTTAAAGGTGTGAATCTAGCTCGTTAATTAATTTGCGGAGAGAGCATCTATATGTTGTCCGAATACCCATCTGTGATGTATGTGATGTGTTAGAAACCGCAGTTGCATTTATATATCGTACTCTATCAGAATCTTCCCCAATCGTCTTTCAGTCGTATCGGAGTCTTCTGTCGTCATACACTAGCCGTTCTGGAATTGGCTCTCGTTGTTTGACAGTCGTGTCAGGGTCGTCTACAGTCGTAGTGGAGTCGTCTCTGGTTGGTTGTGACTCTTGTCGGGATCGTCTGTAGTCGAACCTGAGCTATTCTTGGTCTTACATTATTCGTACTGGAGTCGTCTTTAGTTTTTCGTGGTTTGTCTTTAACCTTGCTGGAGTCGGCCTCAAGTCGTACCTTAGTCATAACTTGGTCTTACATAGTCTTACTTCAGTCGTAGTGAAGTTGTAGCGGATTACTTGGTCGACCTGTAGATGTATTTCATTTCTTCACAGTCGCTAAGAGTTTTCTTTTTTTTCAATATTGTACTCTTACGTGGAAACTTTTTAATGTCGAGTACTGTCTGGTTCAGGAAGAAAGTCACCACCTTAACAAATTTTATTCATTTACATTTTCAAATGGGCAGTCAATCCACCAATTCGAGCGGTTGACTGTAGTCATGTTCAAATTGGAGCTCACCTCTGATGGAGGTTTTAGACGTGGTAAAAGCCAGAGTGCATCCATTATTAGAGGCTGTTCCAACATTGGGAGCCTACAAGTAGTTTGTTTCGTTGTGAGTGTGGCGTTTTATCAGCATAACTGATAGAGTTCTGCCGTCTAATTGATTGAGTTGGTAGATCTTTGTTCTTGTTTTGTTTTTGTTGCTTTACCTTGTATTTATTGTTATTTTGTTATTGTTTTGGTTAGAGTCAATCAACTCGTGTTGTATCTGTGTTACCCAGTCATTAACATCACACTTTTTCATTGAAGCAGTAAAAGACTTTTCCTGAGGTTACATAGCCTCATTTAAACTCGAGGGGGGTAGTCTTGGTATGGCGGAGCGGAGATTGGGAGAAATTCCAGACAGTGATACCTACCCGTGACACAATTGAGGGTTTGTTTACATGGTACTTTGTGAGACTTCTCTCCTTCCCCCAAACACCCCTCCCCCCCCTCTTTCACCTTCGCCCAAGGTGTTTAAACGAGGCTGTGAAGATGCAGAAAAAAAGCCATGTGGCTTTACGAAATACATCTCATAACACGCTTTGATCCAAGACGTTATAATCGTGTTTAGTATAATTTCGGAGCTGAGCAAAGAGTTTCCAGCAATCTGATTGGTCGAGCGGTTCCTTATATGATGCTATGTAAACCGCTCCTCGTGGTTTATATAAAATGTTAAGCTAAAATGTTAATAAATGTTACTAAAATGTTATGATTTTAGAAATTTCTCTGTTGTTCAGCTCTGAAATTATACTAAAACAATTATTCGCCTCAGGTTCGGTGAATATTGTCGAATAATCTCCTCGACTTCGTCTCTGGGATTATACGACGATATTCACCTCGCCTTCGGCGAATAATTGTTAATTACAAATCCATATCTAAGGATATCAATCGACCAACGTGAGCACGCGTAGTTTCTCATTCATTTTATATAATGTGATAAAAATTCGTCAAATAAGGTTGTCACTTATTTTAACTGTATAAATTCTAAAGTATTTAACTTGGGTTTCCCTTCTGTCACAATTTTAATGTAAGAAAAGAGAAGAAACATAGAATGTATTACACTGACACCCTCGTATTTGTCCTAGAAATATGAATACCTCTTAGGTTTTCACAAATCGTTTTCGTTAAGAATTGAAAGTAATAGGGAATCTCGTTGGTTTTGCTTCGTAGCGGCTTTGAGTTCATCTTGAAAAATCCTGTCATCCTTTCGACTATTTAAATGCAAAACTAACACCAAACGCGCATGAGGTAGTTTGCTTGTTTTTGTTTTTGTTTTTTTTTTTTTCCTTGAGTCCTTTTTTTAATCCTTGTGATATTTTCTCTGATTGGTAGTTTTTTCATAGTTTGCTTTTTTGTTTTACAAAATTCAATGTTACTTTGCTCTTAATCTTGAACTCCTAAGCTCTAATGGTTAATTCTCCTCTCTAAATTGGTTACGAGAATTTGGTGTTCAATCAAGGTAACAACTTCTACCTGATAAGATTGAGTATTCTCATTACCTGTTGGCTGGATCATGTATGGATATTATAGGGAGAAGTTACATGTCAATCACTTCTGGGAGTTACGGGGTAAGGGTGATACTTACCTACGTGGCTTCTATTGTTAATGAATTTAAATAAACCAAAGATTCTACGTGTTTTGTGTTGGAGCAGGGAGAGTTTAAAGTTTGCTTCCCCTTATCCGGAAAATGTTTAACCATTGGACTCTAAGAGTGATCAGCATCTAGTTTCTCTTTACAGTAATGCTTCTGAATCTGTTTATTAAAGGAGCACTCTGATGGAACGCCCTATAATAATTTGAAAACCCGAAAAATTCAGTTATTTCATTATAATATGAATTTTTAGCGATTAATAAAGCCTTTTCAATAATAATTTTAGTTGAAAGTCGATTCTAGGGCGAGAAATTACGATTTGAAAACTGTTCCGCCATTAATTTTCGTAATCACTTGCCAGATTCAAGAAGACTGGCGCGAGTTTGGAGATTCTCATTTGACGTGCCGTGCTCGTGGCTAATTTACGAAAACAGTATTTTGATCGTATATATTGCTTTTTATAACACTAAGACTAAGACTATTTCACGAGGTTTCCGTATAAATACAAAAGTGTGTTGAGTAATTACGTCGCAATGGGAGTGACCGCTGACCGAAGATAAGTTGGCCGTGCTCCTTTAAGAACAGGAGAATAAAAGAAATGATCGATCGCCAACCTGAGTGGCTTCGATTTTTAAACGAATACTCCCTGTCAGTACCAACGGAAACGTATAGAGAACAGTATGGAGAATATGGACACTGATGTTAGGGTGCATGTAAAGGGTTAACGCACATGGTGTTTTCTTCAGTTTGGCTTTCTTCTTAAGGAGACTCGGATTACTAACCAATAACATTCAGGACCCAAAATTGATATATCTTAGTAGACGTTTTGTTGTATAGTATCGGCTGAGTATTTTTATGAGTTGTGCCGTATTTTGAATCTCTCTACGGCTCGTCAAAATACAAATAGCGAGCAAAAATGCTCAGCGGTACGACACACCAAAACGTCTAAAAAGTTATTTATTATCCAACACGCCAAATTGTTATATCTGTGCGGGCGAATTTCGCGGATATTTATTTACGGGGAGTGTGTGACACAAGTATGCGAAGCGAAACAGAATTGGCGCGTTGTCGTGTTGCTGTTTCTATTTTCTTCAATAAGGGATGAAATTTCATTTTGTCTAACTACTTTTCTCCGTTCGATTTATCTAGTAAACTTGGATCAATATTCTTCAGCCATTCCGACTCTTCGTCGTGAGAAAAATGATTTAAATTGTCCGCCATTTTTTTTTTGCAACTTCAATCCAGTCGTCGCTTGCGCGATGCGAGAAAACCTGTCTAACCGGTTCTCTAGATTACAAATACGGCGTGATATTTGTACTCGTTTTGGGCGTTACTTGTACTCTACAAATGGTGGCTGGATAATAGTGCAAGGTACTAGCCGAGAGAGAAATCTCTTGGTCTTAATTATAGGCCGGCTGGTTTATTGTGTAGTTGGGTATGGCGAAATGCGTTTCTGTTAGGGGGAACTCTTTCCAAGGGAGAGTGGGAATAGATACCAGAAAATTGGTAGATTCCTTTCCAGCAGGGAAGCCATTTGCGTTCCCAGGGTTTTCTCGGTGGAGGTCTGGCCACCACCTTAAAAGCCGACAGCCATTTCAGTAAAACCTGACTAATTAAGAAATCCCTGAGAACGAGGTTGGAGGAGTACCCACAATTACTTCTCGTTGCTGCAACTGGTGCTTTTGGGAATTTGAACTTTTCTGAATTTAAATTCCGTGGTTCCAAATTCGCACGCAAATGCTAATCCTAATGATTTTCGAAAGTAATTTGGTAACAGCCAACTCACAAGGAATGCGCGGTATGCTTGATCGGCTCAATTATTTTAAATGGGAGCTCAAACTAATTTTTTGAGCTTAGGGAAGAGAGCTGGCGGAATTCCTTGTGCCAACAGCAGATCCTTTGTCTGTAGAAATCATTGACAAATGTCAAGACAATGTCCCTTTTCGCTTGATGTCAAAAACGCGCCAGAAAAAAGGTTCATCTCCCTTCCACATGTCGTTTTCTATGAAAAATATTTCTGTGCTTTAAGTTATATTTCGACCGGTCCAAAAGCGAGTCGTGCGATCTTGCCGGAGCTACCACCCCCACCCCCTACCTCCTCTGTACCTTGGCCATTATGTGCATACTCTGCCATTCATCCAAGACCCTAGCCCCTTTGTTGACTTGAAGTCCCTCAGGCTACCCAAAACCCTTGTAGACTTTACATTTCTTGGATGATACAGACCCTGAACGGGAACAACAACACCAACAACCGAAGAAAAACAGCTACAAAAAAGCAAAGTGCAGACTGAAGGTAAAGGTTTTAACCATCTGTCTTGGATCCTAAACAATAAAAAGAGGTGTGCTACACCGGTCTACCATATGTCACTGCTGTAAACTCCACAAAATTTCCCGGTCTCGTTTTCGTCACCTCGCCCTTTGGATCTCGCATGAGTCAGACCGCCCGCGAACAGCCCCTTACGTTTCCATTTGGCTACGAAATATTTTAGTCCGATAACGTACAGCTGTATTTGCACCCTTCTGGAAAAAGATTATCGGAAAAGCTGTTCTCATCCCACGTGCTATTTCATCGCTGCAAACTTTATTACAATCGAAATAATTACGGGTGTTTTCCGAACGGTCCGTGAGTGGGTCGTACTGAGACCCAGGCTTTTTTGAGTAATTCTGAGACAACGAGTCGGTGAGTGACCAGCGGTTTGTAAAGAAGGCAGGCGTGTGAAGTGAGATCGAGGAAGGGGATAAAACAGTTCCTCGTAAGGTCTTAAGTTTGTAGCCGCGGAAAACTGTCATTTGTGGAACTTTCAACATGTCGACTTCACCTTACCACATAGCGTCTCTTTTGGACAAGGTGAGGTGCATTTGAATTATTTCACTTTCCTGAATGATGGCAAACTTTTCACTTTAGTTTGCTTACGTGTGGATGCAGGTTTTAATGATCCGTGATCCCATCCATCGCTGGTAACTGACAGTGCAAGATTTGAATCGATTATTTATGCCGACTTGTAATATAAGAAAGGTGTAAGCTTTTTGGGAAGGACGGTTTCCTTTTGAATTATTGCAAAGTAAGCGCTGGAAGAGGGAAATGACTTGGTGTATTTGTGATCTCGGAAACAAAAAGAGAAATGTCAAACAGATTACATAGTAATTGTAAACGCACAGCTTCGATTATTGTTCGCGCATGCATGGAAAATCCCAATTTAGCGACAACTCGGAGTTGATATATGATAATTTTCTGTTAATGTACCTTTCCTTGGAACTGGGTAGATACGAGCTCACAACTGCAAAAGACGTCGTTTTTAGCTTGCGCCTCTTAATTCATGACAGCCTGACAGTATTCTCCTCAGTATGTCTCTTGCCACTTAGGTATAGTTATAATGACTGGAGCAAAGAGGAATATAGATAAATCTGTGTTGAGGAAATGGCTTATATCCATTATGTTGCATGGATAATTTGTTCCATGCTAATTTACTGGCGATGTGCAGTACATGTAGATTGTTACTCAATTGTCTGGGATGATTAGTTCTCGTATTCTCCTGACCGATTTAATATGTTGTAGTGGGAATTGCGAAGACTAGTTCCAACATAACAGTGCAAGGTCAATAAACAAAACAATAGTTTGGTTATCAGCTGCAGAGCCCAGAGGTTGCCTTAAAGGGAAAAGAGAAGGACTTTTGACCCTATAGCCTTTGACTGCCACACTGTAGCATCACCTTCGTGGAGAAGGGGGGGGGGGAGTAAGGAGGCATGCTCCCCTGGAAAATTTTGAAAGAACAGAGGCACCGTTCTGTGGAATACGATTTGTCTCAATGAGAGTGGAACATCGCATCTGAGCGACAAAGATCGATATCTGATAAGAACAAAAGATTTTTTTAAGGATTTCAAATCGAGACTACCTCCTCCTCAACAACACGGCATAGAAATGCAGATTTTATATATAATTGATGATTATTTATGTATATTTTGGTGATATTATACCTATTCAGTAATGATTTTATCTCTTAAAAAAAATTAATAATAATTTTAATGTATAATTCGTAATGCACTAGTTACCAATCTTGTCAATATTTCAACATTTTATTTACATTAGGATTCATGTCTTAATCATAAATACACGACCCCACAAGCTTATAGCTTTAAATTTTTATTGTGTTTAAATAAAGGTCATCCATCCATCCATCCATCCAAAGAATGACATACATGTAGCTATAATGTGCATTCCCTTGTTGTGAGAGAGAATTTCCACTGTTGGATAGTGTTTGAAATGGGTACAACGGGATATTGATTTTATTAGTACTTATCAGTAACTAGATCATCTCTTTGCTATCTCAAAATCAAAAATTTAATTTGAACTTAAGATGTTAGAGAGATGATGATTTCAGTGTGAGAGCATAAGATTGAATTTGCCTGCACAAGTCTAATGCTCAATGTACAAGGCTTGGGAATTCTGTAGTTGGTAAAATTAACTTTTAGGTGTGAGGAGGTTAAATTTTTAATGCCACAAAAAGCTAGGATTTGTGGCAGCTCTTTGGCTCTGTTTCTTTAATTAATGGCATCTGTACCTTTCACATTTGGTGTAAGTCTTAGTCCTTATCTTTATTATGGCATCTGTACTTGGTGCTCTGCGCCCAAATCTTATTTAAATAAGTTACTTTTAATTCAAAAGGGAGCTCTACGCCTGAGTTACTTTAAAGATTATATAAGCAACATGCTGTTCCACTTTTCCTAAAATTGAATGTCTTTCCCCTTTCTTTATTTTGATTGTCCTTTCGATTGTCCTTTTGATTGTTCCTTTTATTTTGATTGATTTATTTACTTTGATTGTCTCTGGATACAATGAATATACGAATCAACTTAACGGCCTGCTCCCAGTTGGCTTGTTAGCTCAATTGGTAGATCGCTGCACTAGTATTGCAGAGGTCAGTGGTTTGAATCTCGTACAGGCCTGATTTTTTTCAGGTCTGATTTTCGCTATTGCATAAATAGCACTCTCTACTGCGAGGATCGTGCATCACACGTATTTCTTTGTCTTTGTAATATCATGTGGGACATTGCTAACAATCATGCTCCTGGAAATATTAAGCTAGCATTTACTAGGATTTCTGAGGTGCAGGTGCACTCGTATTCTACCCGATCTTCTGTCAACGATAATTTTTATACCAAACACTCAAGGCTTGAAAAAATGCATAGTTGTTTCCTAAGAATTGGTCCAAAAATCTGGAATTCTCCACCCTCAGATATGAGAAAATTGCCAAAATCCACCTTCGGAAAAAGTTAAGGAATAAACTCTTTGAAGTGTTATTGAAATTTGATGACTACCTTGATATCACCAAAATTATGCACCAATTAACTAAAATTTAGATAGCTCTGAAACATGACTTGACTTTTATTCTGTGTAATTCATGTTGCCGTTTTGTATCTTAATAATATTTTAAACGGATACCATTATAATTTCATTTTGTGACAGCTGGTACTGTTTGTAAAATGTCTTTGTCTTTTCCTCTCTATAAACTTGCGTCTCTTCCTCTGCCTCGATTTAAGGCTCTTCTATATGCAATTGGAAGCTAACATGAATTTGTAATTTGTGAATTAATGAATAAAGTTTGTTGTTGTCGTTGTTTGTTGTGTGTGTTTCAGGTTTTTTCTTTTTCTTTTGTGTGGAGTTTTGTTTACCTAGGCTCTTATCTCTGTGTATATACAGCTGTAGGTGCTTGAAGTGGAACAATTATTTTAAGAAAAGTGCTGAAATAGCCTTCCCACTTGGTAAAATTAGCTTTCAGGTGTGAATTAGCTTTCAGTTGTGGGAATGGAAAATAATAATGCTGCTAGGAATTATGGCAGCTGTTTTACTCAGTTTGTTTGTGTGTTTCTTTTTAATAACATCTGTACCTTTTAACATCTGGCATATGTAAGTGTTTTTTAAGTTTTTTTCTTTCCTTGTAACGGAGTTGTGTTAACCTAGACTCCTATCTCTGTGAAAGTACAGCTGTAGGTGCTTGTGGTGGAACAATCCATGAACATTCCTGAAATAGCCTTCCCACTCTTTTTTTTTTTAAAGAAAATTTTATCTGCATTGTAAACTTTCTTTGTGAAAGACAAGTAAATTGCTTTTGAATAGTGTTAAAGAAATGCTTTCCCTCTCACAAAGTGTTTTCACATGTTTTCTCACTACTGTCCTGTGTAGTTCTTTAAGCCTATTTTAGAGAAAAAAAGTTGTATTCATGTGTGCTCTATAGAGCTTGGAGGGTTTGTCCAAAGACAAACAAAGCTAAGTTTTAAACCTTGAAGCCTCCTAGGGATTGCTGAGTTATAATAGTTGTAGTTTACACACTAGAATAATGTCCCATGATAAATGGATAGCTAAATGGATACACATACGCACATAGTACAAGCTGGAAAAAGATCACTGGGAATAATATGCAAAAAGTATTTTGCTTTGCTTAAAACTGAAAATAAATTAAATTATGACAGTTAATGAACAGTGTCAAATGATCAAAAGCTAACAGTGGAAGGACATGTATTTTATTTAATTTGAATCCTTATTAGAAAATACCTGAGGCACACTGCCTAGGTAAAACTGCAGTTTAGGGTAGACCTTGTTTAAAAAAACTGGCTCTTCCTCTTACAATATACTTGTACAACTCCGGTTCAAACTTTTTGTGCAACATAACCTGAAATAGATTTTAAACTGGTTTTTTTATGGGTTCTCCTGCACTGGGAAATTACAGACTTTCCTAACAAAATACAATACCTAAAAAAGTCAAGACCTTTCCTGCAGAAGCCTACAATTATTTCATTCAAAGATTAAGTATTGTCTTTGTTCTGGTATATTTTCATACCAGAATGATTTTAAGTCCATCCAAAATGGTTGTGAAAAGGGAAAGAAATAGAACGAGTGTTTTAAATCTTCTTTGGAAAGGGATTTCATCATGAAAATTAAAGTTAAAAAGCAACGACATTTCAATGGTTCTGCGGTCATTTTCAAGTTAAAATCATTAAAAAAAGTTAAGTTCGATTGTTAAAATGCTAATGAGATACTTACTAAAAACTCAAAAATATTTACACAGAAACAATACAAGAAACAATTTTTCGGCATAAATGGTTAAAGAAAACACAAAGGTGATAGAACGATAGAAAGAAAAGACTTCTGAAAGAGCACTATTTGTAGTCATTTCTTTTCCTACACAGTTAGAATTATCATAGTATTGATTTATTGATGCATGTGTGCTTGTGTTAAATGTGGCTCTTTGGCTTGTGTTTAGATGACATCCAGTGACAAGGACTTCAGGTTCATGGCAACAAACGACCTGATGGCTGAACTTCAGAAAGATTCCATAAAACTGGATGACGACAGTGAAAGGAAGGTTGGGGGAGCATTAACAATCAAAACTCATTAACAATTTATTAACAACTTATTAAAATCAAAACAATCTACCCTGTCAAAACTTATTTTTTCCAGGCCCTAAGCCTGACTTATTTCAAGATGGCAATCCTATGGAAAAATGCTAGGATCTCCAAAATTTCTTCAATCAGTACCTACCCCCTGGCTAGAAAAGTGATCTTCTTAAAGTTGTGAGATGCCTTCAATCAAAAGGATAGCAAGAATCAAGAAAAAAATTAGCGTGATGGCATACTCTTGATGTAGTTTGTAATTAAAATTCTCAGATGCAGTACAACCAGAAAAAAAATTTTATATAGCACTACTATATAATAATTATGATGTAAAGAATCGCACTGGCACAGATACAAATGACTTGTACATAAAGTGACTTAATTGAATTTTAATACCCCTTCTGCATTACAATGCATGAAAATGCAGAAGTGTGTATACATTGTTCATGTACATCATTCTGTACTTCTTTTTCTTTCTTTCATTGTCAGTTTATACATATCTGTAATCATTTGTAACCATGTTTTTTTGGATTATTCTAGGTTGTTCAAATGCTTTTGAAATTGCTCGAGGATAAGAATGGTGAAGTACAGAACCTTGCCGTTAAATGGTGACTATCTTTCTGTCTTGTTTGAGTGGTCTGATGTGCTAAACATTGCAGAAAATTAACATTTTCAATTCAATCATAAAACTTCTGGACCTGATCCAGAATGAAAAATCACAGCTACACCCGCCAAACTGCACTTCTCGCTGACATAGTGACTAAATTCAGTAGAATTATGCTTTCACTAATCCAATTGAAATTAAATCTGTTTTTATGTGGAAGATTCATCAGAATTTTTGTTATGCAGTCATTTAATTGTTACCTTCATTCAAAGTTTTCATCAAGAACTGGTAGCTGGCAAAATCCACCAACCACATGTACCATATCTAGCATGTTTGGCAAGCACAACCTCCTCAACATATTCTTGGTTTTGTGTTACCTACAGGGTGTATTCTGATTCTTATTATTAGATAAAAACTCTGCCATTTTGATAACATGTCTTGTGGTACAGTGTATGTATACAGTATCAGTACTTGTTATCTTCCTTTGAATCCCACTTTGCTTTTTCTCCTCTTCCTTTTTTCTTTCCCATCTGTAAACTTCTCCTCTGCTTCCTCTTTGCTTCACTTTTCTTTTTCCCTGTGATCTTCTTTTCTTCTTCTTCACCTCAGAATCGTTGTGTATGTTCTCTGTACTGTTCTCTTTACATTACCAAAGGTTCATTAATATTTACAGTCATGTACAGCAGGTTTATGTACAGTGTAGTACACATGTAACTGTCAGTATCAAACTTGAAGTGTTGTATTGCTGTTACAATGTACATGTATTTACCATCACTAGCCTTGGCCCTTTGGTCGGCAAAGTTAAGGAACACCATGTGGAAACCATAGTTGATTCACTCTGCTCGAACATGCTATCAGACAATGAGCAACTGAGGGACATTTCAAGTATTGGTAAGCAGTTTAGAACCAGCACACTCTGTGTATGCATGCATGTGCTTTGTACTTGCACAGAAAACATGCATATTCTACAAGTTAACACGTGTGGAGCAAGAAAAATTGCCATCTTTGGGAAATAAATTTATCATTCAGTTAATAAAAAAGTATAGGAATAGTACTTGAAGGTTTGCACAGGGGACTGAATTCATCTAAAGGTGACACTCAGCACTGAAGCATCTATTTTCAATTGTTAAAAAGGCAATATTCCTCAAATGAGATGTCTCAACTCTTTTACAACACTATCCTGGTTTTTGTGGGTACTAACTTTTGCTCCCCTCACATTACCATCCCTTCAACAGCCTTGGTGAATTTAACAGTTACTGTGTAAAAACAGACAGTGTGTAGAAATGATTTGATGTCTACAAGAAAGCTCTACTCTTAAAAATGGCTTACTGTGTATATTCAATACTACATACAACACTGAAAGGTCATCTTTTTAAAGGAACTTTCCTGTATAGGTGTAAAGGATAGAATGGTCATACATTGTACTCATCTTTGTAGGTTTGAAGACAGTTATTGGTGAATTACCCCCTGCTTCATCTTCATTGGCTGCCAACATCTGCCGTAGAATAACTGGAAGACTGACAAATGCTATTTCCAAGGTAACTGTTTTAAGAAATACAGGCAGTATTCTCCCTTAAATGGATATCAATTGCAAAATTATACTTCCTGTATTCTCATTTATGTATATCATTAAACAATACACTTGTGTATGGTACATTGAAAAGAGAATAATACCTTGATATGGTATTTCTGGTACATGCCAGCTATGGGTACTTGGGCTTACTGTGTGTGTGTTTTTTTTTTTAAGAAAGCTGACTCAATGAGGTTTTATGATGGAACTAGGCATATATTAGGACATAAGTAGGCAGAAGACACTTCAGGGATAATCAAGGCAGATTTGTCACCAGTCCTTCTCTTCTGTCCTTTCAACATGGTGCACAGTGATCTGACTGTGTTATTGATGTGATTGAATTGGTAGAACTCATTACAAGAAATCACCCAACAACCACAAAGGAGACAAAATATCACAACAAAAAACACTTTATTGAATGTTTTCTGAAAAACCCGCAAAAACCGGGAGGTGGAATGGCCATAGTAGCTGGCTCTGTTGTGGAGAGTAACTACTGGAATTCACCGCTTGCTGGTTACTACTGAAATCCCTGAGTTTTTAGAGAGATCATTTGGTCTTATTGGTTGACTTACTTTAATTTACAAGTCTGCATAGTGTAGTTCAAGAATTTCTCCTGCTTGAATTTGATCTTCTCAGACTTCTTTGAGAAAAAAGGTGTACAGTTTTTGCATGTACAGTTTACATTGACTTACATGCATTACCATTAGTCCAAGATGCACCAAAAAAAAAAAATATTTAGATTGGTCCACTAATTTATGAACCTGAGAAAAATTTGATTCACAATTTTTTACATTGTCAATATGAAAATGCGCTTTCAATGAATATTCTTGATTTTAATGTTACATGCAAACATTATTTCATGCAAATCAGATTTTATGTGTTTTATACTGGCAAAAGCAGGAACACCTTCATTCATGTAAGCCCTAATATGTACTACCACTGTTTTTTTGTATGTCAGAGCACTGATATTTCTGTCCAGCTTGAGGCCTTGGATATTCTTGGTGATCTGTTGAGTAGGTTTGGAGGTGAGTTAAACAATGCTCCTGGAATGTGAAAGTTGTACAGATTACTACCTGTCGATAATTGTGGGAGAAAAAGATTAAAATGAAATTTATGAGTCAGGTAAGGGCCAGCATCTAATTTCTCCTTTCAGTAAAACTGAGATCATGAGAATAAAGGAATGATCATTAACTTGAAAAATTCCCAATTGTCAAACAAATTCTCCTTGTTGGCCCTGAAGGAAATGTGTAGAAAAGGCTGTGGAGAATATGGATGTTAATGTTAGGGTGTAAAGTTAAGTGTTAATGCTGTGCATCTTAAGTGTACATTCTTGTAATGAAGTCAGTTGTAGTGCTGTCAATAAAGGGGATCATACAGATAGAAAAGAAAACCACTCACCTCAAACCGATGTGGCGATACGAAGGACTAATGCTTGCAAAGCAGGGCTCAACACTAGCAGTAGCCAACTAGCCACAGACTGATAGAAATTCAGTTTTCGCGAGTGGTTTTTGATTTCCACCAGCCAGTTTGGCTAGTAAACAAACAAAAGTTGTTGTGCCATCTAAGTTGTCACTATAGCCACTTAGCTAGGAAGTTGAAAAGCTAGTGTTGAGCCCTGCAAGGTCAACTACAAAAACTGTTTGCAGTGGCCACTTGGTTGATAAAGCCAAATTATCTTGCAATATCCCTCACTGTCACAGCAACAGTTGCATTAGAAACTTGTCCCCCTATATCCCTTTCCCTGCTTATGTCCGCTAGTCACTGTAAGACTCAAGCCAGTTAAAATATATATCTTATTAACCAAGCACGAGGGCCGTACTGGGAGAATATTGGCCCGAGGTCTTGACAGTAGGGACCCAGCGCAGCTCGGTCGGTACAAAAAAGACCATGGGCCGATATTCTTCCAGTGCGGTCCCGAGCAGGCTTGGTTAATAAGATATTTATTATACGACTGAAGTTCAAAGGGACACAAGTGCGGTATCATTCGGGACCATTCGGGACAGTGTACTTAGAGAATATTGGAGCAGCAATAGAGCATTTTGATTGGTTGATTTTAGTTATTGGCCCTCTGACTGCCCAAGTTGTGTAATAAACTATTATTCATTCTTAGGGCTCTTGGTATCATATCACCAGTCTATTCAGCAAGCTCTGCTACCACAATTAACAAGCGCCAGGCTCGCAGTCAGAAAGAGAACCATCATTGCACTTGGTAATGGAATACCATTTCTGTTTACCTTGAATTCACATTAAATTGTAATTCATGCTGTAAACATCATAAATTCTAATTGAATTACACTCCAGAAACCAGACAATCTTTGTCTCTGTCATGAAAAGGTCCATGTATTGCACAGAAGGTTATTATGTACACTATAATTATTTAGAATCCACAGAGTGACCAGATTGCTCCATACTTGTCTTAAAAAAAATTCTGACCATGGAGGTTGTCATTTTGAAAACAACTTAGTAACGTACATGTATAGCTGAGCTGCATAAGATCCGAGGATTTTTTTTCTCAAACAGCAGCTGCCCTGATCGTGGCTTGGAAATCATTGTTAGAACAGGGCTGTCCTGATAAACTGCTGTCTTCTCTGAAAAGCACGTGCCAGCGGCTCCATTTTCAGCACCGAAGGATGACACCTTCTTTGTATCACAAATGGCTTTTCAAAATCTTTTTGAACAACACTGTTGGAGTCAAGGGCACCCTTAACAGGGTAGTACATGTAGCTCTCTGCTCATCTCTCTTAGAAAATTTACTGAACTTGTTTGACTTGATTGTGTTCAATGTAGGTCATCTTGTTTTAAGTGCAAACAGCAGTTTGTTTGTGGAACTAATGGATCATTTGCTTACTGAACTGAAGCAAAATGCCTCGCATTCTACAACTAGGACTTTTATTCAGTGCATAGGAGCAATATGGTAGGTCCCATTCTGTTGTATGGAACTCCATTACAAGAATTGCTTTGACAGAAATCCATCGTTCGTTCTGCAGTGTACAGTAGCCTTTAAGTTTATGTGGTTTTCATTTGCACCTGTAGTTCAGTGAAGAAACTGCATAGAAAGAAGCCTAAAAAACAAAGGAAAAAAACAAAACAAAAAGAAGCTTTGTTAGATGCAACTCCCAGCTTTCTCTACAATTTTATTCAATTGATGTTCATCGGTAAGGATCAGTTTGTCATTTGACATTTACATTTTATCGACTTCAGCCGTCAAGCAGGTCACAGAGTTGGAGAACATCTGGAAAGAATCATACCCATGATAGTGCAATATTCTAAAGTTGAAAATGATGATGAGCTAAGGGAATACTGTATTCAGGTTAGTCTTGACCCTTTCCTTAACGTGCCGACATGAAAAATAATTTCCTTTACATATACACATCTTAAATTATAATGTTTTTTACCAAGAGCACTACTACAATTACAATTTCTTGGTCACACCTCATGTGTCTCAGAAAATGTATTAATTGTTAAATAAATGTAACTCTTAGTCCACGTAGCCCATGATATTGGTTCAAACCTTTTTACAAAAAAAATTTATCCGACTCTTTGCAAATAATTATGAGATGGGCGTACAGGTTCATGTTAGGAACTTAGGCAAGTCTGTTACTACAACGTTGAAAATTTTCTTGCCTTCATCAGTTTGCTGACACTCACCATTTTACTTTTTCCTTTTTCCTCACCCCACTTAATATCCTTGCATGTCAAAGAGTGTAACAGAAAACCCTTAGTGCTGCAAAATATTTAGAATACGTTTCCCACCGTGTTGACATTGTGCATTGAAGGGAGACAATCACTAACTTCAATGAATGGAATATTCAATCGCACTGAGAAAGTTTCAAGAGCTTTATGTACTGCACATGAATTGTGCTTTGAATGATGCTTGGGTTGTGCCAGTTGTTAGGTATGACTCTCTTTGGTTCTTTTGTAGGCATTTGAGTCGTTTGTATGCAGATGTCCCAAAGAAGTAACCACTTATATTCCAAAGGTAATTGCAGTTTACTTATGTTTTACTCTTTCCCAAACAATACAGAGATAAATATATATACAACACTTGCTTTTACTAAACAATCCGTTGTTCAGAAGGTTGTTGGTGTCAATTCGGGATTAAAAAAAGCTAAACGAGGTTTTGATTAACCCATTGATTCCAATAGCATACAAGGCTCAGCCGTTACGGTGTCTTATCTTAGCATAACACAAAACTGTACACTAACCTATGCTTTAGTTTAAAGACCTTTTAACTACCTGGTCAAGCAATGCTGCTGCAATGTTTGTTTCAGTTTACTCTTCTCTATTTGAAAATTACGAGAAACACTCTTTTAAAGCGGCACGTCTAGTTTTTACCCTCTTGTTCTCACTTAAGTCCACTAAAAAACAAACAAACAAGCAAACAACAACTAAAACAACAAGAAAATTTAGTTTGTGACCCTCAAACTATGTCTAAGGGCAGTTTCTATCCTGACCCCACCATAAAGAGTAGTTTCGATTGGGTGACGAAATACCAAAACCAGAGTAATAACAAAGGCCAATTATTATTACAAATTTTAAATAATGATTGGCCAACTGGAACTCAAAGTAAAAAGGGGAGAATTGCCAAAAGCTTTGGAAAATGCGTGTGTCGAGTCACGATTGGTTTTAATTTTACGTTGAGACCATTCTTAGAGCGAAGTAAAGCAAAACCAAGGAGAATCTTGAATTATTTTTGACACTCAATCATGGCTCGACACTAACGGTAGCCAACTAGCCACACTCGTAGAAATTCAGTTTGGCTAATGATTTTCGATTTCCACTAGCTAGTTTGGCCAGTGAACAAACTAAAATTGTCGCAACGTCTAAGATGTCACTAGCCACTTAGCTAGTAAGTTGAAGAGTTGGTGTCGAGCCCTGCTCAATAGCAAATGACTCTAACAAGTTGTAAAGTACATGCATAACCGGTATTTATCTGGTTTTCCACAGATTACAGAGCTTTGCCTTGAGTTCATTTGCTATGATCCAAACTATAACTATGGAAGTGATGACGAAGATGAAAACATGGAAACAGACTTTGACGACGACGAGGAGGAGTAAGTGTTACCCCTTGACACCCTAACGTCAATATCCATATTCTCCAAACTCTACTCCGTACATATCCTTTGGTATCGACAAAGAGAATTCATGCGACCATCGAAGCTTTTTAGGTTGGCGAATAAGTATGTGTGAGACATCCATGAGACATGGTCCATTTTAACCCTTAACACATTAGCATCGGTATGCATGTTCTCCCCACTTTTCTCCACATATTTCTTGTGGTATTAACATGGAGAATTTATCAAACAATCGAGAGCTTCTTTAGTTAGCGATCATTTTCTTTCTTTTCACGACCTTAATGCTTGATTCAGAGCTGAAATTGTAAAGTTGAAATAAGATGGGAGCCAGCCACTCTAGGGGCTAACGGATGTACGAAAGCTTAGCTGCGTTAAGATTCCTGAGAAGGTTTGAATAAGACAAATGTTAGGAATTTCAACTGAATGCGGTGATATGCTGTGTTCTTTAACTTGTGGCGTATTACCACCCCTCACAGGGACGAAGATGACGATTATAGCGATGATGATGACATGAGTTGGAAGGTAAATATGATGGTTTGCTACATTAGTGTGTACGTTGTGCTCGTTGTCAGTAGAGACGCGGTAACTCTGATACTTGTGATGCTGTAGCTGTGAATGAAGCGTTGACCAAGACCGTAATGTAAGTCACACCATGCCATTGATAACATGTGCGAGTGCAATTTTCAATTCAGTGTCAAGTCCGGGAGCGTATTGGTTGTGCCTTACTTCGCTCTGTGATTGGTCCATAAAACCCGCGCTACTCTCTCGACCAATAAATGCAGAGATAAAACCAGTCACAACTTGGTTGCCTGCGTTTTCCCGCGCTTTCGGCTGTTTGTTTTTTACTTTGAGTTCTCATTGGCTCTTTATTGTATCTTCCCTTCTGATCGATCTTTACTTTGGTTTTGATTTTACGACACTAGATCTAGGTGCTCTGATAGAGTCCTGCACATTTTTTTAGATATTCACTGATGTGCTTAGTTTAGCCCCTCAGCTTTAACAGGGATCATTTTATATCAGCGAAATCATGGATTTATTTTATTAAGGTTCGCAGATCTGCAGCCAAGTGTTTGTCAGCAGTGTTGGGATCAAGACCAGAGCTTTTGTCGGAGTTCTACAAATCAGTTTCACCAGCACTCATTGCCAGATTCAAAGGTACATGTTGTAAACTTTGTAAGAATTGAAAAAGGAGTTGAAAGTCTTGAATCAAACAGTGTGGATTTTATCTTGCAGAAAGGGAAGAGAATGTCAAAGCTGACATATTCGCAGCATACATCACTCTGCTGAGACAAACCAGGCCTGTAGCCAGTCAGACGCTGGACGCTGATGCGATGGAAGATGATTCAGGGTGAGAAGAAACTATAAACAAACAAATAAACTTATTATCATATGACGCGTCCGGCCTCCCTCGCGCAATCCCACAGAAAACCATTATAAAAGCAGATGGGTGTGCAGGGCCGAACGGATTGACATGCGAAATACAAAAGTCGCGTTTTTCAAGGAATTGGGAGTTTCTTGTTCTGACTTGAAAGAATAAAGTAAAGTTTTAATGGAAGAATTGTTTTGTGTGTGCACGTGTGACTTTGTGTGCCGTTTATCGCGTCCTATTTAAGGTTGAAGTTTTCAACACTTAAGGTGGTCATATGATGAAATGAATATTGACTGAGTTTGCTCGGTCCGTACGTCATGACCTCCGGCCAAATATTTTCCCGTCCGGCCCTCCCACTTAGTCATTAAGTACATATTACTTAGTTCGTATTAACCGAGTGGGAGGTCTGTATGGGAGAATCTTGACCGAGGTCGCCAGTACAGACCGAACGCAGTGAGGTCTGTACAAGCGACCGAGGTCAAGATTCTCCCATACAGACCGACCTAGCTCGGTTAATAAGATGTTTATTATATGGCTGTGTCTTATATGCCAATTTTTTATATTCTTTGTACCTTTTTTTTCTAGACCGGTCTAGATGCCGGTCTAGATGGGAAAATCTAGACCGCTCTCATTATTGATTTCAGCCAATCAAATTCGGGAATTCGTTAGTTCTCAGTCCTTGTGAGAACTACCGAACTAATGAGTCATAATATACTTTTAAGGACAGTATGATGTAGTAGCAATGATCTGACTTCGGTACGTCTTTTTTGTGTGTGCGGAGAGAAGACGAGTAACATTTTTATTTATTCCATGAGCGAACTCAACTGCACTGTAGCTGCTAGTCATCGCCATTGTCACTTATCTTGTATTCTTCCACAAAATAGCATGTCACCTTATTTGTATGTTTCTTTTTTGTTCCTTGTAGCCCTGTGAATCTCCTGACCACTCAGATACCATCCATTGTCAGAGCTCTGCACAAACAGCTGAAAGAAAAGAGTGTGAAAACCAGACAGGTACTCGTATTCTCGGTGTAGTTGGTTCCTTCACTCTCTAGCGTACAGAAGTAACCGACATTCGACTTCTTTTATTCAAATACACTAGTAAACCAATTTTCAATCGACAACTTGCTCAAAGATTCGAATTATTAGCGACAATTGTAGATGAAGTCGCTCAAACGAGACCATTACGCCCGCTATGGTACTAAAGAATTGGTTCATACTTTTAGCTGTACATATATCGAGATGCAGATGCACTTGGGAAGTTTAGAGAGCAATCAAGAAGTCTTAGTCGCTCTCGGCTGCGCCTCGAGCAACTCTCTCGCATTCTCCAACCTTCCCGCGTGCGTCTGTCACTCGACATCCGCACGCTTAGCACGGACCAATTTTTGATTGGCGTCGAACTTTCACAGAACTTATTTCATGTAACTGTTTACTCATTTCAGGGATGTTTCCATCTATTGTTGGAGCTTGTTGCTGTTTTGCCCGGGGCTCTCTCTGATCACATAAGTGCCATTGTTCCTGGAATACAGTTTTCCCTTGGGTAAGGCGTTGGTTGCGTGCACGAGAGGGTTTTACATACAGCATTTTAGAGAAAGGTTTTGAAACAGAGAGGTGGAAGTGTGCACAAAAATTATCGATGGTTATCCAGGTTATACTTGTTTTCTGATCAGATGGTTAATTTAAATGCGCAATATTTTATTTTGAAAAAGAAACTGAGTCGGCGACTCGTAACACGTCAAAATGATGAGATCATCCCGGTATTGACGCGTACACTTTTTTTTAATTTTTGTAGGAATGCATTTCTCTGAGCAGTTGGTTATAACGTTTATAGTTGACCATGTGCACCTGTAATACCCCATTGACACAAAAAAGAATAGTGTACACCGATAATTTGTCATGGAAATTTTGAGTTCTTGAGTACCCGATGACCTACAAGTATAACGAGTACTTCCATTTGGAGGCTACGAACTCAAAAGCAGCTGGGTGTGTTGGTTGTAATGGCGATTCTAGCTAATTATTTACCTTATTCCAGGATAACGAGAGTTCAAGGTGGAAGAAAACGTGCTTACATAGACAATGATGTTTCTTCTGTTAAATCATAAATAATTGCCTTTTTTCATACATTTTTCCTGTCCTTTCAGAGACAAGAGCTCAACATCAAATATGAAGATCGACACCCTCGCTTTCCTTGGCTGCATTCTCTCTCAACATCCACCCAAAGTTTTTCATCCACACATTCGTGTTCTAGTTCCTGTAAGTATTCATGTTTTATTTTTTGTTATTGTGTTGTTGTCTAATACTTGAAGCAATTAGAACATTCGCGGTCAACCATGATAACTGTGAACCTTTTTTTGCGTGTGCTCATAGCCTGTAGTAGCAGCAGTAGGTGATCCATTTTACAAGATCACTTCCGAAGCTTTGATGGTCACTCAGCAGCTGGTCAAGGTCATCAGACCTCGCGGTATGTCAGAACGTCAGGGTATTTTTTTTTTTTTCCATTCTCTGGGCTACATTTGTGTAACTTTACCTTTACTTTATAGAGACATGCACTGTATTTAAAATCTTCATCGAGCCTGGGTATTTGTTTGTTTGTTTGTTTGTTTATTTTTATTTTTTTTTTTTTGCGTGCTACAAGACTCGAGATGGGCCGAAAAAATGGGAGAAACTCATAGAAGAGCTTGAAGACCCGGCTTTCGAAAACCTACCGACCTCTAGCAGACAGTTTCTAAAATCGAAGCTCTGGTGCTCTTCGTTGCTGTCTTTATTTTCATTAAGCGTACAGAAAAGTCCGCTGCGCAGAGTAATTTCCATTCAGCTGGCGTGACAGGAATCATCATATGCTTTGTTAACATGTAACATTGTTCTCGGACATGAGATTGACTGCTGTTTCTTGTCCAATGGAATAGGAGTGCCAGCAAGTGAATTTGAGTTCAAGCCATTTGTGAAGGACATTTACCAGTGTACCCTTGTCAGACTTAAAGCTGCTGATATTGACCAGGAGGTCAAAGAAAGAGCCATATCATGCATGTAAGTTGTGATTAAGGAGTGTTCATTTCTGTGGCAAAGGACTCTCATCGACATACATACATTGATGCTGAATGGTTTTGTAAAAGCCATACTTCCCATGATCGCTTGTCTTTAAACCAGCCGACCAACACTTGTTAAGTTGAGAAACAAACCATTTGATACAAGAATTTTCGCTATAACATCGCGCGCTTCGCAAGTAACATGAAGGGCATACTTTGTTTTGATTGGTTACTCAAGCGGGCAAGACAGCTGGAGCTTTCTTACTTGCTGTAAATCACCCACTTTGATCTTGCGGACAAGTGAAAATACTGGAAACTGACCTGCCTCCAGTCACTTTCTTGTCTCCAAGAAAGACGAACAGGAACGATCCGCACCATCTTTGATCTCGTTGCCGTTTATTATATGCAACGAACTTCGAAACCCACAGTAATTTTGTTTTGGTCATCAAAAGCGCTTAAATGGTTTCTTTCGTGTTGTTTTCCTCTTTCACGCACACCTTACGCGAGTGGTACGATACTCAGATAAGACCGCTCGAAGTTTCGAAAAACACGTGATGTAAAAATAATGAAAAATTAAGTAATAGTGGAATAATAAATCCCTTGTTCCATTGTTTAACAAAAATACAAAATACTCGCGGACATTGTGCTCGTTTATCGTATATCCCCCCCCCCCTCTCCATTCCCATGGGGCTCGGAAAGATACAAGGGAACTCGCGTAAAACGCGCGTTAAAGGTATATATTGCCTTACAATAAATCTTTTATTTTGGCCAATTTTTTTTTTCTTTTCTTAACCTCAATTTAGCTTGGAATAAAGGGATAAAAGCTCGTGTGTGCCGCCAATCGTCGGTGCACCAAAACTCGAATCAAAATAAGATGTATGATCTCTTCTAGTTGGCTTTTGAATGTTCTAGTTGAGAAGATGTTTGTTTGTTTGTTTTTTTCAGGGGTCAGATTCTGTGCAGCCTCGGCGATGAACTTGGTCAGCAACTACCCCAGTGTCTCCCGATATTCCTAGATAGACTGAGAAATGAGATCACTCGGCTTACTACTGTCAAAGCTTATTCACTGATTGCCGGGTTTGTCGACTAACTCCGTTACTTGCTGTTTGCAGTCAGTTGTGGTTAAAGCACCTGCGACGCTCAGTCTAATGGAGGCGGATTTTGAAATCGTTTCAGCTTACAGATTATTTTGGTTTCTAAGTTTCAATATGACGTGGATATGGATAGTACCTCTATTTTGTAAAGCACCATTTTAATTCCTCTATCAATCTCCAATTCTTTAGCTTGCATGTAGGCCGTATTGCGAGATTCAGCGCGGCGAATAGGGACATTGGAAGATTTAGGACGAGTGACAAAGCGAGGGCGAGGGAATTTTCTCGCCCCCCCCCCCCCCCCACCTCAACACCCCCCTCGCTTGGTCAATCGTCCCAGATCTTTCACCCATCCAATATGACGACCGAATATTCGCCGTGCTGAATCTCGCGCTCGAAAACACAAACTGCCGCCCGCAAGTAGGCTACCTTTTCTTAAGCTTTCCGAAGCGACTGACTTTCCGAGCTACAAACTTACACCTCCTATTTGTCTTTCAGATCGCCACTAAAAATCGATCTCAATCCAATACTAGTAAGTATGAATGGGAATGAAATCACCAAGGTCTTGTGTAGCCCCAGTAAGCTCAAATATTTCCTTCACTGATCATTTTTTCTCTTTTTTCATCACCGTGTTTAGGGTGATTCTATGCCAATTCTTGCCTCCTTCTTGCGCAAGAACCAAAGAGCACTCAAGTTATCTACTTTGACAACCCTAAATGTTTTGGTTACGAACTACGGTAAGGCTTTTTTTTTTTGTTTTGTTTATAACGTAATCGTGATCCCTTTCAACGAGAGGCGATAAGCGTTCACGATCGTTTGCCAACTTTGTTCCTGGAATGGACTATGTGACAGTTCTTCACCCTTTAACTTCCAAGATCTGATTGTTGATTGTCCCCTCTTGCTGCTATACATTTCCTTGTAAATTGGTACCGAGAATTTGGTTTTAGATCAGGATAACAACCTCTTCGTGACAAGTTTGAGTATTCTCATCACGTGTCTGCTGAAAAATGTATGGATATTGTTGGGAGAAGTTTCATGTTAATCACTCTTGAGAGTCAAAGGTTTAACCTTAGACTCGTAAGAGTAACCAGCATTTAATTAATTTTCTCCCAACAGTATCGCCCCTGAATCAAACATTTAGGTATTGAGATTTAAGGAAATGATCGCAAACTCAAGAAGCTCTTTTCTCGTTAGACAAATTCACCTTGGAAGCGCCATGGGAAATGTGTAAAGACGAGTAAGAAGAAATGGCATGCTGATGTGAGGTAGTGAAGGGCTAACCAATGTGTTTCCCGTGTTGTGTTTAGGTCATTTATTGTCTCAAGAGAACATTTCTGGAGTACTGACGGAAGTTCCGCCCCTAATCAGTGAAAGCGATCTTCATATCTCTCAGGTATGGCGCAGTTAAGAATGTTAATGATTGGGGTTTCGTGCACAGAGTTGTGCAGTGCGTTTGGTGTCTCGTATTGGGGGCTTTGCTGTAGGGTAAATGCGAGGGTAACATCATATCTGAGTACGCACTTGATTGGTTTCCTAGCTTCTGCGATACCACTGCCCATTTTTCCTAATTATTGTTTTAGTCAAAACGAACATTATCATCTTAGTTTGGTTGACATAATTGGTTGACAATGAAATTAATGGACTGACTGGTTAGTTAATTGACTGATCGACGGATTGATTTTTTTTTTTTTTTCAGCTTTCTCTTACATTGTTAACGTCGGTTGCCAAGATCCACAAGGATAGCATGGCACAGGTACAGCAGTGTGCTTGTTACACAAACGAGCTTTTAACCTCGTTACCAGGCTTTCTCTCATTTACGCTTTTCGGGGTAAGACAAGCGTGGCCAGCGTTTTCCAGGGTCTCTCTCTTTCTTCCTCTTTCTCCAGGGCGGGGGGGGGGGGGGGGGGGGG